TATTAATTTCAGGTGTACAATTTAGTGATTCAGCACTTCCATACAATACCTGGTGCTCATCACAACAAGTGCACTCCTTAATCCCCATCACCTATTTCATGCATCCCCCCACTTACCTCCCCTCTGGTAACCATCAGTGTGTTCTCTATAGTTTAGAGTTCATGGGGACACCTGGGTGGCTCAGTCCTTTAAGTATCTGACTCTCGGTTTTGGCTCAGGTCATCATCTCAGGGTCATGATCTCAGGGTCCTGGGATCCTGCCTTGATTCGGGCTCCCTGGTCAGAGTCTACTTGGGATTCCTTCTCTCCCTTTCCCTCTGCACCCCGCCCCTCGAGCTTTCTCTATAAAATAAATAAATCTTTTTTAAAAAGAGTTTGTTTCTTGGTTTTCCTCTCTCTTTTTTTCCCCCCATGATCCTTTGTTTTGTTTCTTAAATTCCACATATGAGTGAGATCATATAGTATTTGTCTTTCTCTGACTGACTTATTTTGTTTAACATAATACTGTCTGGCTCCACAACCATGTGGTTGCAAATGACAAAATTTCATTCTTTTTTATGGCTGAGTAATATTCCTGTGTGTGTGTGTGTGTGTGTGTGTGTGTGTGTGTGTGTACCACATCTTACTTTATCCATTCATCAGTTGATGGACATTTGGCTTCTTTCCATAATTTGGCTATGGTTGATAATGCTGTTATAAATACTAGGGTGCATGTATCCCTTCAAATTAGTATTTTTGTATTCTTTGGGTAAATACCTAGTAGTGCAATTGATAGATCATAAGGTAGTTCTATTTTTAACTTTTGGGGGGAACTTCCATACTGTTTTCCAGAAGGGCTGCACCAGCTTGCATTCCCACCAACAATGTAAGTGGGTTCTCCTTTCCCCAAATCCTTGCCAACACGTTATTTCTTGTGTTGTTGATTTTAGCCATTCTGACAGGTGTGAAGTGATATCTCATTGTAGTTTTGGTTTGTATTTCCCTGATGATGAGTGATGTTGAGCATCTTTTCATGTATCTATTGGCCATCTGTATGTCTTCTATTGAAAAATGTCGATTTATGTCTTCTGCCCATTTTTAAACTGGATTATTTATTTTTGGGTGTTGAGTTGTGTAAGTTTTTAAATATATTTTGGATACTAAGTATTTATTCATGAGAGAGAGAGCAAGCCAGTGAGGGCACGATGGGGGTGGTGGCAAGGGTCAGAGGGAGAGGGAGAAGCAGACTCCCTGCTGAGCAGGGGGCCCAACAAAAGACAGATGCAGATGCGGGGGCTGGATCCCAGGACCCTGGGATCATGACCTGAGTGGAAGGCAGACCCTTAACCAACTGAGCCACCAAGGCGCCCCTTGGATACTAAGTCTTTATCAGATATGTCATCGCAAATATCTTCTCCCATCCCATAAGGTTGCCATAAGGTTGCCTTTTAGTTTCCTTGATTGTTTCCAACACTGGTTGTTCTATAGGCTGTCACCTTGGGACTTTTTCCTTTAATACTTTCTTGTGTTGGTTTACAAGATCCAATCTATTCTTTTTTGTTAGTTTACTCCCTTATTTAACTGATACACAGCTCTCAATAGTTTCATAAAGATGATTCAGAGGAGGTAAAAGTTTTTGAAAACTTGCTTGGTAAAGGTCTCTTGTTTTTCTTTTCATCTGATTGATAGTTTTGGCTGTAAAATTCTAGCTTGAAATCAGTGTTCTTGCATATAGAGTTGCTGTTCAGTAGACTGATTACCTTCTGAGAATTTTCCAGCGACTTCCTGCTGAGCCCAGAGCCCAAGTTGGGCTCAGTCTCATAGACTTTGACATCATGACCTGAGCCAAAATCAAGAGTCAGAAGCTTAGCTGACTGAGCCACGCAGGTGCCCCTTCCTTCTGATTCTTAGCTCTTTTAATGTCACTCCCATTTTTTCATTCTGGAAGTGTGAAAATATCCGAGTATCAGTTATTAATCTATTTATTTATTTATTTATTTATCTATCTGGTCTTAAGGGTGTACCCTATTAACATTTAAACTCTCACTTTCAGTTCTGAGAAATTTTCTTGTTACGTTTTGACCATAATTTCTCCCTTGAATTTTCTACACTCTCACTTTAACCAGAATTTCATTAGTTAAATATTGGATCTCTTGGATTGATACTCTGAACACTATTTTTTTTTCCTTTCTTATATTCTCGGTCTCTTGCTCTACTTTTTGGACAATTTATTTTATCATCCAGCCTTTATATTTAAGTTGTTTTTTTGGCTGACAATATTTATTTTTAAGAGCCCTTTTTGGTTCTCTAAGTGTTTTCCATATTATCTTTTTATAGATTTGTAAATGTATTAGCTTCCCTCATCTATAATTAATTTATTATTTTAAAATACCTTATACAGGGCGCCTGGGTGGCTCAGTTGGTTAAGCGACTGCCTTCAGCTCAGGTCATGATCCTGGAGTCCCGGGATTGAGTCCCGCATCGGGTTCCCTATTCAGCAGGGAGTCTGCTTCTCCCTCTGACCCTCTTCCCTCTCGTGCTCTCTATCTCTCATTCTCTCTCTCTCAAATAAATAAATAAAATTTTTAAAAAAATAAAATAAAATACCTTATACAAAAAAGCATTATGCAGTAAAAATTACTGTTACATCCATTGTTAAAATGAGAGTGAGTTACATAGAAGTTAAGAACTTATCCAGGTTATATAGCTAGTAGGGGGCACTTAAGCCCTAATCTATTTTCAATCTTACAGTAAGAATACATACTTCATACAGTTACTGTTGAGTAAATGTATATGTGTTACTTAGTACAATGGGTATCACATAATAATTCTCAATAAGTATTAGCTCTTATTAGATTTTACCATTCTGGGGATATTAATCAGACATTTTTAAAGACTTTTTTCTGTTTTCTCTCTATTATATATGTCTCTTCCTGTTCCTTTTTGTTTTGTTTTTTGGTGATGGCAGTTTGACCTTCCTAGTCATGTTGTAGGAATTTCTTCAAATGTCCTGTGGTCCTGGGTTATCTTCTCATATTTAAAAATGATGAGATACCATCCTGTCTGCTTTTTGTGTGTGTGTGTGTGTGTGTGTGTGAAAACATGAGGCCTGTTGATGGTAGGACTTCATTCTAATGTAACCATGCTAGGATAGGGCTATTGACTTGGGAGACCCCTCCAAAATATCAGTGTGTAAATCTTTATCTGAGCTTTCCATATTTTCCAGGTTAGAATTCTATAGTAGCTTCTGTGTGACGGAAAGTTAGAGAGAAGGTCAGGTATATACCTTGTGTCCTACAACCAGAGAGTATTGCATGGTAAGGGTAATATGGAAATCTCATCATTCAGGATGCAAAATTTTGCTTAACCTCCATATTTTTAGTTTTATACCTCAACTTGCACTCAACTCTGCCTAAGGCCTCCAAAACTAGGGATAGTCCCATTTAATTTCTCCAAAGAACTAACTTCCCATTCTCTGCCTCTGAGATACTTTCCTATCTATGTAGGATGATGAGAGGATCAGAGTATCCAACTCTCCATTTACATACTGTCACCTAATAACTTATTTTTTAGTCCTTAACTGACACTTGGCTCTTCTAAATCTTGTACCTAAATGGGATATTGTAGAAAAACCCACTAGTTTTGTGTGAATATCTCCAATGCAGGAACTTTAGTTTAGATGTTTCTTGGAACTGCTAACTCAATTGCTCTTTTTTCTAATTTCTGTCATCAATATTATGGGTGTTCACTTGTGCATTCTGAGTCTTTATGAATTCATACCACTTTAGGTTTTTCTGTCATTTTAGTGAGTATTTTAAAAGGAAGGAGGATAACTGAGTGTAGTCAACCTACCTACTTTTCAGTTTCTACCTTTTTGTAGTAATCAATTTTTCAATAATGTGTCTTACATTTTAAAAAATGTAATTTGAACTTACCATTTTTAAATGTAAAATTTTTGGAAACCTCCTTGATCCATTCTTGAGAGGATTATTGAGAGCTTCTAGGATCTATTTCAAACAATTTCTCTCAACCTTGCACTTTGGCTAGGACTCAAACCACCCAAAGCTTAAAAGGTGGTCCCAGTTTTAAAACAAAGCAAAGTCCAAAGATCGGTCTTCAGATTCTGAGACTAAAATCTCCACCTATAATTATATGCCTCTATACCTTTTGAAATGATTGCTTCAAAAGCAGGTCTATGATCTTAATTGTCTAATCAGAGTAAAACTAAGTTTTTGCTCTATGATTGGGAAAGAGAATTTCTCTCTTTTGGGGTTGAAAGAGAAGACAGGTGACCATAGTTGTAGCTGAATAAATCTTGTGAGCCTGAGGGAAGATGGTTTTAGGAGTAAGCCTGCTTTAAATGAAAGTAACATGTTTGTGTTTGCGTACGTATTAAATACTTTGTGTAAATTATGAGAAATTAGAACTAAATTATGACTTTACCTAATGTGTTCCACCCCAGTATTTTACTTCATTTTCTCCCAGTTCACAGCTGACTGTTGTGAAGGAAATCTATAGAGATGACTTCTCGCTCTGTAACAACTATCTATTTGTGTTTCATCTCATGATCTACCCAATTCATATCTTCTGAGGGGAATCCCAAAGTGACTCGTGTATACTTTCCCTTTCCATTACAACCGAAAGAAGGCAAAGTAGTGATGCAATCCTGTTTCAGGTTTTTTTTCTCAGAAAGATTGGGAACTCCTGGGAGCCAGGAATTAGATCTTGTATTTAAAAGAATACTAACAGCATCAGGAACTTTAAAGAGTATAAAACATTTTTTATGGAAGATAGAATATATTTGTAATCACTTAAACAAAATTAGTAAAACAACATTTGTTTCTGAAGGACATTGATATTAATGGAATTTAGGTAGCTTTCACCTAACTGAAAATCTCTAGAGACGCATGGTGGCGCTGCAGGATAACATCGCGGGGGTGAAAAAAAAACTACATTGGATGATGTTCAGGACACTGTTACCCAGTGCGCACAGAGCGGTGGGAAGACAGAAAGAACACGCCTTCAAGGGGCGAACTACAAGCTACTCAATAGGGTTAAAATCCATAGGCCTCCGAAGATTTGGTGGACATTATCAGAGGCACGTTTCCCAGAACTGCGAAGAGAAGCTGAAGCGATTCTGCAGGAAGCTTTCCCTAAAGGAACTATGGAGAACGGAAGGGCAGACACTGTGCAGATAAGGCAAGTTCTGCTTCTTTTTGTTTTGCTAGGAATGTCTCAGGCGGGTTCCGAGTCTGGGCACTTTTCGGTGGCAGAGGAAATGCAGAGTGGGAGCTTTGTAGGCAATTTGGCAAAAGACCTGGGACTAGAAGTGGGTGAGCTGGTCTCAAGAGGGGCTCAGGTGGTCTCTAATGATAACAAAAGGCGTTTGCAGCTGGACATAAACAACGGAGATTTGCTCTTAAGCGAATCACTAGACAGGGAGGAGCTCTGTGGCTCCACGGAGCCCTGTGTGTTGCATTTCCAGGTATTAATGAAAAACCCTTTGCAGTTTTTACGGATTGAGCTCCAGGTCAGGGATATAAATGACCACTCTCCTGTCTTCTTAGAAAAAGAAATGCTCTTAGAAATCCCAGAGAATAGTCCTGTTGGTGCTGTGTTCTTACTAGAAAGCGCGAAGGATTTAGATGTAGGAATCAACGCTCTAAAGAACTACACAATAAGCCCCAACTCTTATTTCCACATTAAAATGAGAGTCAATCCAGACAATAGGAAATATCCGGAGTTGGTTCTGGACAAGGCACTGGATTATGAAGAGCAGTCCGAGCTCAGTTTCATCCTCACTGCTCTGGATGGCGGGTCTCCGGCCAGGTCCGGGACTGCCTCGGTTCGGGTGGTGGTTGTGGACGTTAATGACAATTCCCCTGAGTTTGAGCAGCCATTTTATGAGGTGAAGATTCCAGAGAATAGCATATTGGGCTTAATCATTGTCACCGTTTCCGCTTGGGATTTAGACTCAGGAAAAAATGGAGAAGTATCATATTCTTTTTCCCATGCCTCAGAAGATATTCGCAAGACATTTGAAATTAATCAAAAGTCCGGAGAAATCAGTTTAACGGCATCCATGGATTTTGAAACAATTGAATCATACTCAATAATCATTCAAGCCACAGATGGGGGAGGCCTCTTTGGAAAATCAACAGTCAGAATTCAGGTGATGGATGTGAATGACAATGCTCCTGAAATTGCCGTGTCATCAATTACCAGTCTAATACCAGAAAATTTGCCTGAGACTGTGGTTATGGTTTTTAGCATACGAGACAGAGACTCTGGGGACAATGGGAGGATGATTTGTTCTATCCCAGAAAACCTCCCTTTCATAGTAAAATCTTCTGTTGAGAATTACTACACATTGGAAACGGAGAGAATGCTGGATAGAGAGAGCCAGGCCGAGTACAACATCACCATCACCGTCA